GTTAATCCATGAAGATGGTAAGGGAGGTGGTTAGAATGAGAAGTGCTACAAAGGAAGAGAGAGCATTTCCTTGTCAAAACAGGGTTTTCGTTTAGGGGATGGGACTATTATCTTTGGAGATGATGTCATTGGTCCATGGATATGGGGCTACAGGTAAGTGGAAATGGTCCATAGAGGTCATTCTCCTGTGCAGAAGAGTGTATTTCTTGATGGGGAGTGAAGTTGAGTCAGGGGTAGATCATTGAACGGAAGTCCAGAGAAGGCCAGCAGAGTCCAGCGAATTGTCCTCTATCTTTTGCAAACACCAGCTGCTTGGGCTAGTTTCCCTAGCACCCCCTCCTCTCTACCATCCCGGCCCCCACGACAGCCCTCACCTGTCTGCTGGGTAACCCAGGAACAGGTAGCCGGAGGCAAAGCCCAAGATGAAGAGGATCTGCTCCAGGATCACCTGCCAGCCCAGGTCACACACCAGATCCCACTGGGGGTGTGAGAAGGGTGCAGCGGGCATGAGGCCCCGCCCTTGCCACCCTAGGCCCTCCCCCAGACCCGAGGCCCGCCTGACCATCTCACCTGGCCGATGGCGTTGGTGGTGAGCACCGGCAAGCCATTATAGTCCCAGTCCTTGAGGCAATGATTGAAGTCTGGCGGGGCGAAGCCGCTACACGAGGGGTCCGTACTAGTGGCGACGCGGCTGACTGCGCTGGCTGCTAGGGCCGCGCTGGCGACGCTAACGCCGCTGGCATTGGGGGGCTGCTCCCAGCCAGAGGCGTTGGGAGGGAAGGCCCCGTAGTGGCAATGCAGTGGGGGCGCCAGCGTGAAGATGGGGTCCGAGGCCAGACCCAGAGCCACGAAGAGAACCGGCAGGCAGCAGAGGCCGAGCTGCAGCTGCTGGCCGCCGCCCAGCGCCCCCACCTGGGCGAGCAGCGCCTCAAAGCTGAGGGGGCCTGGGGGTACGGCCAGCGACAGGCTGCTGCCCAGCCCGTCGCCGCCCGCATCGCCCTCCCCCTCCCGCCCTCGCTCGCGCTCACCCTGCAGCTGCTCGGTGGGCACAGCATCTCCAAGGGTCCCGACCTGCTGTGGGGCGAGGTGGGGTGTTGGGGACAGAAGGGTGAAGCGGAGAAAGCCGCAGAGCAAGAGGAGATAGGGGGCGGGAGGTGCTGAAGCTAGGGCAAGGAAGGCAGGTAGGGACAGGGGATGCACGGGAGAAAATGCCGGGCCTTCAGCGGGGACCCGGAGGGGGGTGCGGGATAGGATGGCGTAGCCGTCACCACCACCACCACCACCACCACCACCCCCCGCGCGAGGCGCAGGCACTTACTCCGTTGGAGCTGGGGGTGATCTCTACGGTGCTGTCGATTTTGCTGCCACCCCCGCCATTAGGCTCTGGGGTCCCAGTGGCCACCCGGGGAGCCAGCTTGCCGACCACAGCGGCCCTCTTGGACCGCGCCAAAAGGATGCACTACCCTCTGGCCCAGCTGCGCGCCGGGAGGCCGGACAGTGAAAGACCGAAGGGACCCCAATCTGCAGCTCTGCAGCCGCGGGCGCCTCCTCAGTCTCTGCGATCTCTGCGCTGCTTTCCCCTCCTCTTCCTCTAGACTCCCCTCCCCTTCCCACGTCAGCAGAACCTTCGGTCCAGACTTTTCGTCAGAGAGAGGAAGGGGGGCCAGGGCCCAGGGGAGGGAGGGGCTGGGGGCTCTGTCTTCTGTTCCTGGGTCTGCAGGTCATTGCGGTGAAGAGGGAAAAATGCTGAAGGATAGTAACAGACAGATGCCAGAGGGTCCTCCATCACTTCCAGTTCTTCCCCACTCATTCATTCATCAGTGAAATTTGTTAAATGCCTACTATGTTCCAGGCCTTGTCTAGGCTTTGGGGATAATAGGCTGGACAAGACCACCTTGGGGAGACAGACATGTACACAGGCAATTGTAGTTCAGCTTATGCATGTGGAGAGCTGATTTGGCACTGTACTCAGCTTTCTAGCTTCAATCTCTACAAGGAGACCACTTCTCTGGGATTCACCATCCCATCCTGATTGAATCTCCATGATTTTTCAACAGCATTTGGCAGTATTGACAACCCCTTCCTCTAAATACTTTCTTATCTTCTAAGACCCACATTCCCCTGGTTTTCTTTCTTTTACTCCTTTTCTCCATGCAGGCACATTCTCCTATTCCTCACCATCATTCAGGTCTGCAATCCTCAGAGACTTGGTCCTTGACCCTCTTCTCACCTTACAGTATTGTCTCCCTTTTGGGATCTCACTCATTCCCAACATTTCAGTCACCACCAGTACAAATGATACAAATCTGAGTCCCAGATATACCCCCCAGATCTCATCTCTTTTCTGAGCCCAGGGTCCACTTTTGATAACTCACAGGGACCTCAAATTCCCTATGACCAAACTCATGTTCTTCCCCACTATAACCTTGTTGGTCATCTTCTAGTCTTCCTTCTTCAAGGATAATACCAACCACTTATGGCCAGATGCTCAGGTGACAGTCCTTGAAATTTCCTCTTAACTCATGTCAAGTCATTTACAAAATCCTATCCAATTTCTACTTCTTGTATAGTTCTCAGATAGTCTGCTTCTCTTCCATCTCTATTACCAATACTGCAACCTCCAGATTCCCACCTGGTGTTCTGCATCCTTTCATATCTATCCCCTCCCCCAACTATTACTTATGGATGCAGATGGAATAATCTTTTTAAAAATGGAGGTCTGCTGGGCACAATAGAGTGCACCTGTAATTCTGGTGACTTGGGAGGCTGAGGCAGGAAGGATGGCAAGTTCAAGGCCAGCCTCAGCAAATTAACAAGGCCCCAAGCAACCTGTTTCAAAATAGAAAATAAAAAGGGCTGCTGGGCTGGGATATAGCTCAGTTGGTAGAGTGCTTGCTTTGCATGCACAAGGCCCTGGGTTCAATCCCCAGCAACACACATACACACACACACACACACACACAAAGCGCCTTGAGTGTCCCTTCCAGGCTATCACCATGAAGATAAGTATTCTAGACAGCTCACGAACTCACACATGCTCCTGCATGCCTGGTCATATGCTCTATGTAGCTCCATTTCACTTCACATGTCTCAAACTTGCTGCACTCCAGCCTCTGACCTTCAGTTTTTCCAATGTTACAGCATCTTTGCACAAGCTGGTTCTTATACTTAGATGGCTTCTTAGTCAAGTTTTTCCCATCCTTCAGCTGTCAGCTCAAGCATCTTTGCCTCAAAATCTTCTCTAACCTTAGAATTGCTATTCAGTGAAATTGAAGGACCAGCAGCACCCATTATCATTTGAGAGCATAATCTCAGCCTCAACCAGACCCTTGAATCATTATCTGTATTCTAACTAGACCCCCAGGTGTATGTACATTCAAGTTAGAGATGCATTTCTCTAATAAATTTTTTATACTTGATAGGTACTTCATTCCCCAATCCTAGGTAAGGACTGGGATGGACCATGTGTCAAGTCAACTAGCTCATTCCCCTTTCTCTACACTGAACCACCTTCCACTTGTCTCCTCTATTCATATTTCCCCAATAGAGGAAACCCTTCTTTTCTAATACATCAAGCAGACTCCCACCACTCCCCCTCCCTCTACTCTTTTTAGCCTCTCTTCCAGAGTTACGGCAATACAATCACAGCCAATATACCTTAGGGATTTATTGTCTATATCCTTTTCTGTCTTGGATAATAATCTCTTAATTTTATGTGGTGCTGGGCTGTTCACATGCATTTTCTTTTTCTTTTCTTTTTTTTTTTTTTAGTATTTTTTTAGTTGTAGTTGGATACAATACCTTTATTTATTTATTTTTATGTGGTGCTGAGGATCGAACCCATGGCCCCACACATGCTAGGTGAGCACTTTACCAGTAAGCCACAAGCCCAGCCCTGTTCACATGCATTTTCTTGGTAGGTCCTTACAACAACCCTATCAGACCATTATGATCCTCTCACATTAAAGCTAAACCAGGACTCAGAGGTGACTAGCAATGATTTTCCTACAGACACTCAAGTACATGGCAGATCTGAGACTTGAACTGAAACCTGACTCCAGTTCAGGGATCATCTATGAAATCTGTCTGGAAGATGGGAGATGGCTTTCAACACATAGGGGTGAATTTTGTCAATCCTGGAATCTGGAATTTTTTTCCTTGAGAATGAAATGAGAAGGGAGCCCACAACATAGGAGGCAAATTCAGAGGGTGCCAAGGTACTAAGATTGTGATTGAAATCTGAGGTGCCCTGAAAGTTATTGTGCCAGATAACTGGGAGTGCAAAACTGAAGCAATGGGTCTGTAGCTCAGATTTCTTCCCTGTGGTAGGTAAATGGCTGGAGTGATCCCCCCTATAAACCCACAGCCTCTTAACTTCAGTCACCAAAGTCTTGAGGACTATGGACTTCCAAGTCATTGCCCTTGTCTGCCACCCCACCTCCCCTAGAAGACAGTTTGTCCAGAGGGATTATCAGTAGGAAGCCTGGGAAGTGCAGTGTAAGGGGCTAGATGCTCTTAGAGTCACCTAGGTGATGGCCAACTTCTTTCCACAACTGCACCTCTCTAGTGACATCATCTGAAGAAGAAGGCTTGATTCCCAAATCAGCAAACTGGGCTTGCCTTCCTGGAACACTAGTCAGACCCTCTTGGTTCTCTCTTCCTCCAGGTGCCTAGCTAATGTCTTGTCAGTGGTCCTCTCCTCACCTTGCTCATCTTTTCTCATTGCCCTGTGGATTTCTACCACCAAGTGTCCAATCTGGCTTATTTTTTATGCACTTATTTTAATGACTTGTTGATGTCCATCCAACCCTTATTAGAAGGGCACATTCACTACATTCCTTTAGAACTCTCTCTGGTCCTTTATGGGAGTTGAGAACCAGTCTAGTGCACATTGTCAAAGGAGGAAAATCCCCCCACCCGCCATGGGTATGATGAGGGATGCCACCCCCGCCCCCCCCCACCCCCACTCCCACAACGCTCCCAAGCAGCAGAGTCAGGGAACCAGACCGCAGGGTTTATTGAAGTGCATACACCCATGCTCAGGCCAACATTCCTGCCTTTTGAGGGGAGGAGCCTTCTGATGTCTCCCAGACCTTCATATTCTGGGCAGTCAATGTCCTTCTCTGCTAAGTGAGGAATTGGTGTTCAGGAACCAAGAAACAGGAAGGGAGAGAGACTCTGTGTGGTCCCAAGTTCCTGCCACTTGATTCTTGGTGTCCCAAATTTCCAGAGGCAGGAGGCAGTGCAGTGACCTCTAACCCTGGCTGGTGAGGAGGAGGGTTCAGTTCCTCCCTGCCTCAGAGGACCTGGTGCCTGGCCCTGACAAAGCAGGGAATAACATTAAATATAAATAATTTATACAAAATGGCTCTCATACAAAAGGCTGTGGATTAGGGGAAAGAGATGCCTCTGTGAGAGGCTGAGATGACTGAAAGGGGAAGGGGAGGGGGAAGATACCTCCCCTTCCCTGAAACAGCCCTCCATCCACCCAAGACCTGAGTGTGTGGAGGCTCTGACCAGGCAGGGGAGGGGAAGGCTGTGCCAACAGACCCTCAGGCAGCCAGGCTGGTGAGCAGGGTGGTGAATTGCAGGGCTCGCCCTGCCAGTTCTGCCACACACCGTGCCATCTCCTGGGCTGCAGGGCCTGAGGGATAGCCCAGGGCAGCCCCCTTAACAGCCAGCACAGTGGCCTGCAAAGCTTGGCCCAGCGCTGTACCTGCAGCCCCGACCTGTGTTCGCAGAGGGGCAGAGGCTGCCAGCCGACCCAGGGTGTCCCCAACGAATACTAGACGGTGAGCAGCCACCACAACCCGCTTGCTATGGGGCACGAAGAGACTTGGGGGCTGCTTGGCCTGGGTGCTGGACATCAGGGCTGCCACAGCCGCCTGCAGCGCTGAGTAGTGGCTCTGGCACTGCCCTGCATAGAAGTGCAGGAGCTGTAGGTCTCCGGTGGACAGAACCAGTGGTTCCCCTGGGGATGGGGCCTCCTGAGGGGCGAGAGGGGAGTCAGTGGGAACGTGCTCCTCAGTGCCACTTCCTCCCTTGCTCCTTCTTCCTGAGAACAATCCCTTCAACTCTCATCCCTGCTCACCAGAAAATTTAGATTGGCAGTGAAATGCCCAGACTCAGTGTGAGACAGCTCTGGATTCAAATAATCTCAAACCTGATTTCAAACAAGTCTCTGAACTTTTGTGGCTTCTCATTTCTAAAACAAAAAGTATAGGGCTGGGCACTCCTTGGTTTATATCCAAAGGGCTTAAAATCAGCATACTATAGTGACACAGCCACATCAATGTTTATCGCAGCTCAATTTACAAGAGCCAAACTATGGAACCAACTTAGATGCCTTTTGACAGATGAATTGATAAAGAAAATGTGGTATATATACACAATGGAATATTACTCAACCATAAAGAATAATGAAACTATGGCATTTGCCAGTAAATGGATGGAACTGAAGAATATCGTGCTAAGTGAAGTAAGTCAACCTCAAAAAAAACCCAAAGGCCAAATGTTTTCTCTGATGTGCGGATGCTAATTCACAATAAGGGGGGTGTTTAGGGAAGAATAAAGGTACCTAGGTTTAGGCAGAGGGGAGTGAAGAGACGGTAGGGGGTCTGGGCATAGGGATAATAGTAGAATGAATTGGACATTATTACCCTATGTACATTTATGATTACAGAACCAGTATGATTCTATATCATGAATAACCAGAAGAATGAGAAGTTCTGTATGATGTGTCAAAATGCATCCTATTGTCTTGTATAACTAGAACAAATTAAAGAGAGAGAGAGAGAGAGAGAGAGAGAGAGAGAAAAGAAAAAGTGTAGAGCTGGAGGTGTAGCTTAGTGGTAGAGCACTTGCCTGGTATGTATGAGGCCCTGATTCTATCCCCAGCACCACATAAACACACACGGAAAAAAAAAAAAGCAAACAGGGAGTCTAGTACTGCACTGTCCAATAAAAACATAATATAAGTCACATGTGAAGTTTTAAATATTTTGGTAGCCACATTAAAAAAAGTAAAAAGAAATTGGTATATTTTCTCTAATTCCAAAATAAAAAATGTTGTAGTTCCCATCTGTTATCAATATCAAAATCATTGAGTTATTTCCATAGTAAATCTTCAAAATCCAGTGTGCATTTTATATTTATAGCACATTTCAATTCAGACTAGCCACATCTTGTGGGTCTGGTAGCCACATGTGGTAACTGTATTGAAGATTATAGTTCTAGCATGTACCTAACAAGGCTGCAGAGAACATTATTCGAGAAAATAAATAAAAAGGGCTTGGCACAGTGCACTCATACCCTAAGCTGTTATGAGCATCGACTATGACTGTGATTGATGTTGAAGCATGTGTGCCTAGCACAGGGTCTGGCACTTGGTAAATACCCGATAAATGGTTGCTATTGTGTTATGTCCATTCTAGACTGAGTCAAGGAAACTATCTCACTTTCCTGAGGTCCAGAAAGACTTAAGTGATCGCTTTGTGCCCTTGTGCCCCCGCCCCCCCCCCCCGCCCTTCTTAGTGGTGGAACTGGGATTAGGAGCCAGGTCTCTTAGGAGCCCAGGAATTCACAGTTGGAAGGAGCCTTAGAAGGAGCCACAGCCCAGAAACTCTTTCTGCTCCCTTGGCTGCCCGGCTTTCTGACTCCTCTCCAACACATTCTTTCCCCTCTTTCTGAATTTCTAATATCCTCTTCCAAGTTCCAGCACCTTCCAGTTGAATTCTAACTCCTGTCTACTCTGTCCCTGCTTCATGTGAACTCTAACCTCATCCTAATCTATTTCCTTCTATAGTTTGGTTAAGAATACCCCTTCCCCCAAGTCCCAGCCCTCCTTCGCCAGCCCCCTTCTCTAGCACACCTCCAACAGGGGGTTACCTGCTGCTCAGGCAGTCCCTTCTCCTGCAGTTCAGGATCCTCTGGAAAGGCTTTATCCAGGGGCCTAGATCCCTGAGCTTTATCCATGCCCTGCAAAGGGGATCAGGTCTCAGTGCAGGGGTGGTGGCTTCCCCAGTCTCCCTTCCAGTCCCTTGACTCAGGAGGGAGCTCTGGTGGTCCCAGGCTGGGATTAAGGGGGGAGTGTGGCACTAGTACATGTGGTAAGGCCAAGAACATGTGGTAGGGTCCCTGGCCACAGGGTGAAGGGGTAGGGGAGAGAGGAAGAAGGGAGGCAGGGAAGTTCTGCCCCAAGCCTCCACACTCCTCCTCCTCTTGGGGCATTTCTGGGAGTGGCCCAGGAGGAACTCACCTTCAAGTGAACATAGTCGTACTCCTCAGCCATTGGGATGCCTTCATACTCATTGTGGGGTCCTGCTGGATCATCCTCCACTTCCCTGTCCTCTGGATTCCCCTCGATCTTGGGACCCCCAAAGCCAGGCAGGCGGGGTGGGGGTGGAGGCAGAGGCCGGTCCTGGATACTGCCTTTGCGGCCTGGAGCAGGAGAGGGAGCTGGAGAAGGGCTGGGAGCCTCAGGGACAGGCAGGGCAGGCAGAGGGCGCCTGGACAGACTCTCAGCAGAGGGCAGCCGAGGCCTGTGTGGTGGCGGAGGGCTTCTGGCCAGCAGCTGGGCCAGGGTGTCCAGCTCATTGGAGGCCGAGTTTCCTGGGGGCTCTGGAGAAGGGGGTGCCTCGGGACCCAGCAGGGGCACATCATAGATGCCCTCATCAGTGTCCCCACTTTCCCCGTTGGCCAGCAGTTCTTCGGGTGCTTCATACAGGTTGAGGAGGGCTGATGCCCGTTTCAGGTTGGAGGGAGCAGCGTAGAGTGGGGGCCCTGGTTCCCGGCCCCCTTCCCACTCCAGATCCGGCTCCAGCTCTGTGGATGGCTTTGGGGCTAGAGGTACATCATAGGGAGCTTCATCTTCCCCAGGGTGCTGCTGGGCAACCCGGGCCAGTGGATGAGAAAAGGAAGCTGGGGAGTCATAGGGGTCACTGGATTGAGCTCGGAAGGCAGTGGGGGGCACATCATAGACCTGGAGAGAGGGAACAGTGAGTCACCCTTCAGCTCAGCAATGGACCAGCCCTGAGGTTGTTTGTCCCTTACCCCAAATACACAGACCTTTAACCCTCACCTCCAAGGCATCTCTGGGAGTGGACAGTTGGGTCCCATTGCCTCTGGGGACCTTGTAGATGGAGTCAGGGGAGGGTGGGCAGGGTCCAGCCAGAGGTCCTGAGGCAGGACAGGGGCGAGCTGGGGGTGGTACCACATACACCTGGGAGATCAAGACAGGTGGGTGGGTCTGAAGGAGGGGGCTGGTGAACCATGTTAGACTTGGAGGAGCTTAGAAACCTGCCCTGCTGTGCTACCAACAGGGACACAGAGCTAAGGGGTGGCAGAGACTTCAGAGAGCACAGTGGGAGGAGAGCAGTGACCTGGGGGGTCTGCCTGCCTGCCTGCAGGCCCCAGGGGAGGACAAGGGGTCTCCAGGTTTGGGGCTTGGGGGACTTCAAGTCTCACCTCCTGTTCGTCATTGCTGTGCTCTAGGGTTGGGTGTGGTGAGCCAGGCTGGGCGGAGGGTGCCAGGGAGAGGCTGGGCTTGGGCGCTGGGCCAGCAGGAAGAAGCTTCACTCTGTTGGCAGGCACAATGCCCTGCTGGCCATGCAGGGAGCAGAGGCACCAGCCATCCAGTCCGCCAGCACCCTCCCTCTGCAGTACCCGTAGAACGTCCCCTCTGCGGAAGGACAGCTCCTGGGGAGACTCGGCAGTGTTGTCGTACAGTGCCCGGGCCAGCTGGGCCTGGTGGGTGAGGAGAGTATAAGGAGAGGGTCTGAACACACCTATCTGGTCATGGGAAGCCTCTTTAGAGCTTCCCATTCCCTTTAACAATTTGACTCCTGACTCAGCACTGACGAGTCCCGTCTTGCCTCCAGCTTTATCACCTCTGTCCTCCTCTTCCATAACATTCTGACCTCAAGACCTTTGGACTTACTGTTTTCCCTCCTCAGAATGCTCTTCCCCTGATTTCATCTGACTGGCCCTTTTTCATCCTTTAGTTTAGCTTAAATGTCTCCTCCTCCTTAATCACTGTTTGCCCCGTCCCATTCTCTGCATCATCTCTACCATTGTTTCCTTCATAATACCCAAAGTTATTTGTCTTTTTAGTTATTTCTTTTATTATTATTAGCAATTTCTTTCCTTACACTGTAAGCCCTTACTTCTTCCTAGTCCCTGTAATAGGGACTCACCTGGAACTGGTCCTCAGTACACATTTGTTGAATTGATTTCTCCCAAAGCACATGAAGAGATCTTGCTAAGGTTTCTCATGGAATCTCCTTCACTTTCCTTCTTTTCCCTAGTGGCTGCCCCTCACATGCAAAAGCTTAGATTAAGCAGCTGCAAAGACCCCTATTCTGAGGGAGACTGGAAAAAGCCCTGTTCAGACAGTGCCTAGGCATGATATGAAAGAAAACAGAAACCAAAGCAATTGTTTTGTTCTCAGTCTGAGCAAATAAGGTTCTACCAGAAGAGGCTGAGGTTACCATGGAGAAAAGTGTATATGCTCTAGTGTGTGCACAAGGAAGGCAGCTGGCAGGCCAATCAGGAATAAGCATCTATCTCGTTTCCAGTCCTGTCTGGAGGGGGCATGTGAGCTTTTTACATTGGAGCCACATGCTCAGGTCAGACGCAGAAGCTACGTGCAGATGATATTTCTTTCCACTGTGCAAGTCTTTGCATTCAACATCACATTTAATTCTCACAACAACCTTATCGGGGAGAAACCATTATCTGCATTTTGGAAAGGAAACTGGGAAGAGAGGTTACTGCTTTGCCCAATGACACATGGCTGGTACAGTAGTGGAGCATGATTTGAAGCTCAGGCTGTTTGATTTCAGAGCCTGCACCCTCAGTCACTTTATTCCATTACCTTTCCACAATGGCAGATATTTGCTTATTTTTGTTTTGTTTGTTTCAATGGTACCAGTGGTGGAGTCAAAAGGGTCCATGACTCAAAGGTGAGTCAAGTACATATCAAGTCTTCCTTATACTCAATTTCCCTTTTCTGTAACCCTTCATGATGCTCTTGTTCCAAGAATCCTTTGGTAGAATCAAAATTAAACCATTCAAAATGTCAAAATATATTATTAAAGGACCATGCCTGCTGGTAGGATCTTGGGCAGTGGTGGCATATACAGTAGTGTTGGAGAACAGCTCCTAGCCAGGTAATAATGTGAACTCACTAATTCAGCAAACACCTTCAAGCTAAAGACCTCAGGCGGACTGCCACCAGACTGTGAGGAGAAGGAATCCCTGCTCAGTCAGCACCAGTGCATGTTCCTCTTGGCTGGTGTTTTCTGCGGGTGGACAATGGCTAAGTGGTTTTAATAAATGGACTCTTCCTTTTGCTTGATTCCAAATGCATCCAACTATTTTCTAATTGTATTGTAGCTCCTAAAGGATATTGTCCCATGGCAGGTGGGGTAAGGGAATGCTAATCAGATAACACAAATTCCTGGTTGACTCCACACTTTTCTTTCTAACTGTAAATTATAAATCAGTGTTTTGCATATAGTCAGGGGATTAAAAGTAAAGTTCAAGAGGCAGGTGGACCTGGGGTTGAGTCCTGGCTCTGTCCCTTTCTCACGGGGTAACTTTGGTCAGGTTGTTTGACCTTTGTGAGCCTTAATTTCCTCCGTTGTAGAATTCCATCTTTTTATCCAAATATCGGTTTTTGTATAAGGACAGTAGTATCCTCACAAGGCTGTTCTGAGGACTGCATGAGATAATTCCTTAAAAAAACCCACAACATAGCTAGGCATGAGCCTATAGCCCTAGCTACTTGAGAGGCTGAGGCAGGAGGATCCCTTGATTCTAGGAGCTTGAGACCAGCCTAGGCAACATCAACCTCATCTCAAAAAACAAAATGTGAAAAACTTTAGCATAAGGTCATTATTAAGGTCATCATTACTAGCATTATTAAAGATTCTTGAGCTTACTCAGCATAAATATGCCCCCACCCCACCAAAAAAATTCTACCTCCTGGGACTGCAAAGTTACAGAATCATCACCTTGTGCCCAAGTACTCCCAGAAGCTCTCCCCCTCTCCCAGCACTGGGCTAGTGTCTTCAAGTCATCATGATTGAGGAACTCACAGGAGTTTGATCTGGGAAGGAGCCCAAATCCAACTGGTCCTTAAGAGGAATGGGAGGGTGTGAGTGGCTCTCTGCTTTTCTTTCCACTCTCAAAATATTCCCAGAGTCCCCCTTCAGAGGGGATCAGAAAGCAGGTGTTAACCTTGCTTTTCCTGGAAATTCAAGCCAGAGGCCAGGGAAGGGCAGAAAGGCGAAGTTGCCTGGATTCAGACTACTCAGAGTGTTGGACAGAAAGCAGAGGGGTGGGTCAGTGGAGAGCTCCTCCCTGTGTTAGGTTTGAATTCTGTCCAATGGAGCAAAACCTCTGGGCCTTGCAGTTGTAGAAACCCAGGACAGAGCTGCTTTGGAATGAGTGCTGATGGGTGTGGCCCCTGTTCTATTCCCACCTAGCGGCCCAGCTGACTTGCTAGGGAATGGCTGGCTAAATGGAGGTGGCAGGGGACCACTGCAGCTTTCTGGGAGGCCACCTCCCACTGTCCCATCATGCCAGCTGTCTCCTCCCTTTGTCCTTAGTCCCCGGAAAGTGGCCTGAGGCAGGCTGACATCACCTCCCCTCCTCCCTCTATATTCTCTCTCCCTTTCCTCTATTTGCCTCCTTTCCTCCATCCCTCCTCCAGAAATAGGTCTTTCTGGTCCTTTGGCCTCCCATTTTCCTTGAGCAGCTTGTCCTTTCAACCCCGTTTACTTTGCTTCCCAATCACAAATCCCTGCCAACCACCAGTGGCCATCTGTTCCCGCCCAGAAAGGAGCAGATAGGACTGGGACTACCCTTGCCCCCTCCCCTCTATCCAGCAGCAACCTCTAGAAAGAAAGAGCTTGGGGAGGGGGAGAAGAGGAGGGGCGGAACCCAGGAGCCGAAGGAACAGGGGATGAGTGAGAGGGAGAAAGCAAACAAAAGTGATACGACACAGCCTCCTGGAGGAGAAAGGGATGGATCAAAGAGACAGACAAAGAGAGGGCAGAAATAAACGCTACAGGAGTCGAGGCAGGCTGGACAGGTTTCTGCCCCGCAGGTTTCTGCTCCTCTCCCTGGTGGACTCACCGACGTGGCAATGGCCATGGCCTTGGCCTCCAGCGTCGCCTGCTTCAGGCCAGGCTCGATTTCGCTGACTTCAGCGGTGGCTGCCCCGCACCATGCTTCGCGGCCTCCAAGCGAGGAGGCCACCCCCGGCTGTGGCGCTTGAGAAGTGGCCTCCGCCAAGGTTGGAGGAGAAAGAAAACCCACAAAACTTCCCAAATGGGAGGCAGTTTGGCCAGGCAGGAGGAGGAGAGGGGCGGGCCGGGGCGTCGCTGCGGGACCTCATCCAAGGGGCGCGCTCTGAACTGTCCCCACGGCCTCCCAGGGGCCGCTGGGTTGGCCAGGCCCCCGGAGTTGCCTGCCCTAGGCCGCAGAGGCCTCCCTGGCCCGCATGGGCCGAAATCTTCGTTCCAGGGCTGGGCTGGCGAGGAGGCGGGATCTGGGGCTGCTCGACGCTTGTCCAGGAGGTTCAGGACAGCCCCAAGGGCTGGGAGAAGCCGCCGGGACGGTTGGGCTGGATGAGCAAGTTTAGGGGCCAACCCTTCCCAACCGCGCCCCGCCGGGGACCAGGAATCCCAGGGCTGTGGTAGTGGAGGCCCAGGGCACTGTGACAGGACCCCGCTGGGAGGAAAGACCAGCGAGGACCGAGCCTTTTGTCCCTCTTCAAACTCGCCCAAATTGGCGAAAGGAAGCCAGACTGGCGCCCAAGTCCTCCAACAGCGTGGCCGCTGGGCTGGGTTGCCGGAGTGGCTGTGTTCTGCCCAGAACCTCGCACCCGCGGCGATGAGGCGGGTTCTCACTCTCCACACTAGCTCTCAGCGCACCCAGGGGTCCGGGGACGCCTGGCGCCCGGGTCACAGCAAGCAGCACGCAGGTACAACTCGAAGAGGCGGGACTGCCTTCCTGCGCCCAGAGAGCAAAGGGGCCCAGCCCCCTTCCACCTTCGGTCAGGGGTGCCAGGCCGGGAGCTCCCACCCCCACCCTCGGCCCCTGACACCCGGAGCCGGCCCCCACCGCGCGCACCCTTGGCTGGGCCCCTCGGCGCGCCCCAGGGGTTGAGGCAGCTCCCAAGTGTCTTTGGGAAAGAAGAGAAAGGCCAACAAGCAACCGAAGGAGCAAAGAGAAGGCGAAGGAGAGGCAGGGGCTAGGGTCCTGTAGGCTCGACCGGGGTTAGGGTCGGGGTGGGGACACCAAGAGGGCTGGGTAGGCTTCAGGGGGGCCGCGCGTGGCCCCCCCGGCTCACCCCTCGCTCGCGGCTCCCTTCCCTCCCCTTCCCCGGCTCCCGGCTCCCTTTCAATGCAGTTCTTCCTCCTCCCCTCGGGCCCTCTCCTCTCCAGCGCGGGGCTCAATCCTGGGGATTAAGAGAAAGGAGGGAGGGGGAAAGGGAGGGAAAGGGAAGGGGCGGAGGAGAAAAGGGGACGATCCTTCCAAAGGCGGGTGTTGAGTTTCAGTTTAGGACCTTGGGGCCAAACTGCCGGTCCCAGTCCAGCCCCTCTCTCCCGTGCCTTCTTCCTCTGGACCTCTCCGCAGACCTCCGGGTGGTCTGGTCCTCTCCTTCCTGGGAGCTTCGCTCTCCCTGCCACGCCCCCACTCTCCCCCGCCAGCCCCGCGCCTCTCAGTCTCCCTTTCATTAGCCCCACATCTGTCTTTCTCGTGGGGAGGGAGCGCGCTCCTTCCGCCTTGCTGGGGTCCTTAGCCTAGCCTCTCAGCTCCTTAGTGCTGTCTCTGCAGGGGTGGCCGGTTTAGCTCGGCCGGTCTTGCGGGGCACCGGCCGGGAGTCTGGCGCTGGACATGGTTTCTGGCCCTGGCGAGAAAACACGAAGCCTTAACGTCTGGCCCCAGATCTGCAAGGCGGGCCGGTTGGGCGGCCTCCTAGCCTCCTCTGCTAGTCTGGGCCTGTCGCCCTTCCTCAGCCTGCCTGGCTCTTTCTGCTTCTAGAAGCAGGATTGGGGACTACAGGCACAAATGGGCAGAAGTCTTTTAGAGGGTCTGCGGATCTAACTCCCAGGAGTTTCAGCCGAGGGCAGGGTTATTAGCCTCTTACATCTCTCCCGGCTGCCTTCCCACCGCCCTGCTTCTTGGATCTTTATTTTGGAGCACACAACAGAGCCTCCTGAGGCTTGGGGGAAGCCCATTTTCCACTTTTGAGGTCCCTGGTATTTAAAAAGCAAGATGCTATCAGAGTGAAATGCTGTAGTGTATTTTCACTATTTATGTTTAACAAGCACTTCAAACATAAAATAGACAAGGACTATGCATAACTTCATTTGGAGATAATATCAGAAGTATAATTTAAGGCCCTCCACCCTCACATTTTGGAGGCTCACACATCCACATGTTTCTCTGTGTGGGGAGGTTCCCTGCCCCAGCCCCTTCCTCACCCTATTATTTGGGCACCTATGAAGGACCCCCTGCAGAGGGAAGAGGTGGAATCTGTGGGGTGGGTTAGTGAGAGATTCTGGTGTCAACATGGGGTCAAACACTATTGGCCCTGAGCTTTGTTGTCAGTGATGGATTTCAAACCCGGTCAGGGCATGGGGCTAGGAACTTGGAACAGACTGAAACTCCATTAGGACATAAAGGAACTTTTAAATTTCCAGATACATCTGAAAGGAGAGCTACTCCATTCCAGCTTCAGTCTAGTTAGAGAGAGTCACTAGAGAAGACTTTCATCCTCCTCCAGACACCAGTTCTGGTGGGCCTGGCTGTTAGGTACACGGACACGCTGCTGCTAAAGAGAGACTGGGTATGATCTTTGCTCAGGGTCTGCCAAGGCAAATTTGGAATCAAGGGGAGGTGGGTAGGATACTCTGTCCACAAAGACAAGTGCTTTACCTGGCACAGGAAAGTAGATGGAGGCCAAGAGGAGAGGAACCTGCTAGGACCAGGCAAGACAGTGGCTTGGGAGCTGGGCAGTGGAACTCAGTGCCTGGGCAGTGTAGGTGATAGACAATAGAATGCACATCAGCATGAGAAGACTGTGCTTCTGGAATGCCCAGGCATGGAATGGTGCCAATCAGTCTTGGAAGTGAGTACTGGTTTATTAGCTGTGTGACCTTGGTCAAGTTATAGACCATCTTGGAATCTCAATTCCTCATCATTTTTTTTTTTTTTTTGTACTGGGGATTTAACCCGAGGTACTTTACCACTGAGCCACATCCCCAGCCCTATTTTGTATTTTATTTAGAGACAGGGTCTCACTGAGTTACTTAGTGCCTCACTTTTGCTGAGACTGACTTTGAACTCGAGATCCTCCTACCTCAGCCTCCCGAGCTGCTGGGATTACAGGCGTGCACCATTGTGCCCAACTTTAGTTTCTCATCTTTAACAATAATTTTGGCAGGAAGTAAATACATGAAAAGAGCTTGGCACACTATTCTTCTTTCATACTTTCTTCTTTACATTTAGCTCCCCATGGTGTGAAAGCTGAAAAGGTGTCTTGAATGAGGGCAGGAGGAGCCTTTCTCATGTTCTATACCCTTTTACCCTCTTCTTTGCAAGCAAAAGTTTAATGTGATTTGAATTTTGTCAGGAGGAGCTCTAGGGTCCAGGCTTGGGAGGTCGTGGAGGCCTTGGGTGGGTAGTAGCCTCAATAAGTTGGGCTCCAAAGATTTGTCCTAGACATGTTAGGGAATAGAAAGGCAGGAACCCTTCATCTGGCTTCTAGGGCTCCAGTCTTCTCCCCATCTTTCCTCTTCCTAGGAGGGTCCAACCAGCTGGTTTCTTCCTCACCTCACCTTGGGACTTCCTGGGTCTCTTTGATCCCTCTTATTATTCAAAACTTCTCGGGTACTTGCTAATTCTTCTAACCCTCATCTCTTTGGACCCACAGCACCCCGACTGTCTTGGTTCTAATCCTGGTTCCAACACTAGCTAATGACCGTGATGGCTCTGTGACCTGTTGCAGCCTCTGGTTTCTTGTCCACAAAGGACAATAATCATGGGCATAATAATGGAACCTAGAATACTAGCTTGTGAGCATTAAGAAAATCCTGAGAATAGCACCTGACCCATTATATATAATTATATATAAATGTTGGCAAAGGCAACTATTATTATTGTTATTTGGTGGTAACCCTGAGGGGGCACCAGGATATGGAGAACATGATGTCTGCCTTCAAGAAACTCATAGATAGGGTTGAATCCAGCCAATACCTCCCCACTGACCTTAGAATAAAATTCAAATGCTCCACCATGCCCTGTTAAGACTCTAAGTGATGGATTCCTACCTCCTCTTCCACATCATCTTCTCTTCCCTTTCACCTTTTGTTTTTTTCACCCACACTGTCCTTTCTGTTTCTTAAATATGCCAAGCCCTTTCCCATCTCTAGGACACTGCACGTCTTGCTCCCTCTTCCTTCTCCCAGATCCTTTCCATCATCACATTAAATACCACAACCCCTGACTTTCTGAGTTACAGTTGCCCTCCCTCTCCCCTCCCCATCCCCCTGTAACCCTATCTCATAGCACTTTTTCATTTTCCTCATCACATTTATTATTATCAGAAATTATTGATTCATTGTTTACTATCTATCTCTTTCTAAAAGAGTTGTTTGTCTTATCTTCTTATGCATTCTTAGCATTTAGAGTAGTAGTGCTTGGTGTATATGGTGCTTAATAAATATTTGATGAATTGATAAATGCACTCAGACATCTATGGCTATAGGACACAGCTAAGTAAGCTGAAGGTCTTTGTGTTAGTCAGATTTTTGTTACTATGACAAAAATACCTGAGAAAAACAACTTAAAGGAGGAAAGATTAATTTTGGTTTGTGGTTTCAGAGGTTTCAAGTCTAAGATTGGCTGGCTCCATTGCTTTGAGCCTCTGGTGGCACAGAACATCATGGTGGAAGGGCATAGCAGAACAAACTCTAACCTCATGGCAGCCAAGAAGTAGAAAGCAAAGAAGAAACAAGATAAATCTTCCAGAACACGCCCCCAGTGACCCACTTTATTCAACGAGGTCTCGCCTCCTACAGTTTCCACTACCTCTCAGTAATGCCATCAAATTATGAATTATCAGTGGATTAATCCATTGATGATGTTAGGGCCCTTATGATCCAATCACTTCCCAAAAGTCCCACCTCTGAACATTGCTACACTGGGACAAAGCTTTCAACATGAGCCTTTGGCAGATATTCCAGACTTGAACCATAATGGTCCTCCTTGGGGGGGCACCATCGATGTGCTGGAGTATTGAGTTGTTGGGCTCTTTGTCCTCTTACTTCTGATTCTCCATGTGACTCCCTGAGTTCTTCTTGAAGGCAGGCTCCTGAGCTAAAGCATTTTTGTAGTTAAATATCTTCCATTGTGTATATATGCCACATTTTTTTTTATTCATTCATCTATTGAAAGGCATCTAGGTTGATTCCACAGTATAGCTGTTGTGAATTGTGAATTGTGCTGTTGTGAATTGTGCTGCTATAAACATTGATATATATACAATGGAATATTACTCAGCAATAAGAGAATAAAATCATGGCATTTGCAGGTAAATGGATGGAGTTAGAGAAGATAATGCTAAGTGAAGTAATAATCAAATGCTGAATGTTTTCTTTGATATAAGGAGGCTGATTCATAGTGGGATAGGGAGCATGGGAGGAATAGACAAACTCTAGATAGGGCAGAGGGGTTTAGAGGGGAAGGGAGGGGGCACGGGATAATTAATGATGGTGGAATGGAATGATCATTACTATCCAAAGTATATGTATGAAGACACAAATTGGTATGAACATACTATGTATACAACCAGAGATAGGAAAAATTGTGCTCTATATACGTAATAAGAATTGTAATGCATTCTGTTGTCATATGTAAATTTAAAAAATTAAAATTAAAAAAAGTGATATCTTAAGAGTAATTAGCACCTGGTAGGGGTATATGCCTCTAATCTCAGTGACTCTGAGGCACTCAGTGACTCTGAGGCAGAGGCAGTGGGATTGCAAGTTTAAGGCCAGCCTCAATTTATCAAGACTCTCAGTAACTTAGTGAGACATTGTCTCAAAATAAAAAAATAAAAAAGGGCTGGGGATGTAACTCAGTGGTAAAGCACCCCTGGCTTCAATCTACAGTGCCAAAAATAAATAAATAAACAAATAGCAACCTACCAGTCAGAACAGAGATTATCACCTACCTGTTTATCATTATCACCTACCAGTCAGAACAGAGAAACAATATTCTGGAGGTCTCCATCCATGCCAGGTATTTACACTTCAGTGGCTAGATCAGGAGGTGTGTTGGTATGGGGGGTTTCCAAGTCTGAGGGCAGCAGATACTTACTAGCAGGTGAAGAAGTATCTCAACATTATTTATTTTGTTCATTTGTATTTTGAGATGACGTCTTGCTGTGTTACCCAGACTGGCCTTGAAATCACAATCCTCCTGCCTCAGTCTCTTGACTAACTGGGATTATAGGCAGGCACCACCGTATCTGGTATAATTTAACATTTTAATAAAACCAGTGTTCCAGCCTCAAACGAACTAAGTGCTGATGAACATCAGTGGACACTGCTGAGTCCTCTGGATTCAACACTATTTCAGGAACTCAGGTGCAGAGCTGCTAGACTGGTTAGCGTCCTTCTGGCCATCCAGGGCAACCCCCGGCACCACCTCACTAATACACACACTTCTGCAAATGAGGAGGAAATGTCAGAGAAAGAACGTAAAGTCAAGAGAGGATAGGAGCTGGCCTGAGACTTTGAGGAAGCAGGTAAAAAATTGAAAATCTTTCTGAGAAGGGGCAGGACTGCTATATTCTAACTCCCTATGAGCCCCAAGAACCTTCTCAGGCTAAGGGTGGGAGGTAAATTCCATCACACCTTCCCTGCCCTTTCCTGATAGGTGCTGACCACTTTTTCCAGGGACATAGAGGTAGGAATCCCAGAAAGCCCTCTTTGGCTGTCAGGTCAGGCCCAGGCAAGTGGGGACGTGTTGGGAGGTTACTCTTGATGTCAGGTGCTGGGCGAATTTTCCTTTGCTTCTGCCTTCAGCATTGTCCTTATTGCCACCTCCACATCCCCACACCTCCCCCAGGGATTCCCTGGAAGCTGAAGTGACTCAGGGATTCCAAAACTAGTCACCCCAGAAGGAAACCCTCTGGAAAATGTTTCTCATGGCAGGGAGTCACCCTAAAGAGTTCCACAAAGCTGCTACCGAGATAAGGATAGAGGCTCTGAGCAAATGGGGTGGGGTGGGCACATGTGGCTCAGAGAACAGGTTCTTGGGTCAGGCCCAGTCTTCATAGTATGGAAAAAGCCAAGCCTGGGGGAAACTCTGTTCTGGAAGGGGCCCTCCCTCTACCTTCTAGGGGTTTCCTCTGCTCTGAGGTACAGAGGCAGGGAGATTCCCTAAAGGCCTCTCCTGAAGGGCAGTGTCCCCAGTAACCCAGGCTGAGTCCTTTCTGCAGTGTCAGCAAATGAAGCAAGCAGCTGGGATCACTTCCAGCTCCTTTGAGCACCCCTTTCTGCAGGATCAAGAGATTTGAGCCAAGATCAGACTCCTGTTCTTCTCCCTCTGCCCTGGGGTTCTGATCCTTTAGAGGAGACCCATAGGAAAACTGTTCTTCTGAAATAGCACTATACCTGGGGACCCATTCTAGGTTTGGGGATTGTCCAGGAACACCAGAAGCCACCCTGAGACCATGTGTCAGACAAAGGCTGGACAACAGGAATCTGGAGCACAGGATCCCCTCTAGCAGGGCTGAATGCCCCGTGGTGTTGGGCAGGTACAGGTGAGACCTGTGCAACCCAAGCCTAGGTGGGTATGTTCCCGGCAGTCTAGCCCAGAGACCTTTATTCCTGGATCCTGACTGTCTGGATTGGAGCTTTATATACTTTGATAGAACTAAGGAAAAGCAACGAAATTGCTTTTCTCCACAGGCCCCACAGAAGCAGTTACAATTTAAAGAAACAAAAGCCAGGTGACATACATTTATAGATTTAGTCATCTTATGTTAGGATGGGAGCAAGGGGTAGATCTCGGTTCTCCCTCTGCTCTCCCACTTTGGTGTCTACAGGGTTGGGGATGGCAAGCTTCCTTCTCTCAACAAGAGAGGTGACCCCCAAATTTAGTCTGTTTCAAATTGAAGTATTCATTGTAGTGATTCCCCTTCCATTTGCAGCCACCTGAGGGTTGGCCTAGCTTATATGTCAGGGACTCAGATTTGGAGTTCATCAGGCCTAGAATGGAAAACCAGCTTGGCCTCTTTCTAACTATGTGACCTTGGTTAAATGACTAAATTTCGTTGGGTCTGTTTCTTCACCTGTAATATGGAGATAATAGTTTCCATGTCCTGGTTTTATTGTCAGGATAAAGTAAGATGATGCATATCCAGGGCTTATCATCCTCCTTGGCAATGTGTAAGTGCACAGGAGCCCGGCCAACAGTAGATAAAAAGGAGAGGGTGTCTGGGAGCATAGGGGTTGACGGTGAGTAGTAGGAGTGGGGTAATGATATTCCTGACCTTGTTGTTCTTCCCAAGTGCTCCTGTTCTCCCAGCCACCACAATTTTTCCCCAAAGTGGCCTTTCTCTACTGTTCCAGACCCCACCAAGACTCACCAGAACAGCTTATCCCAATTCTCCAGAATGCCGTCTGACATTTTGACTCTCCTTTAGGGCTGCTTTTGGAGGAATCCCCCTCTACAGAAAGTTATTCCTGGTTCCTTCTGTTTATTTCCCGAGTCCTTGGTTACTAGAGGAGTATTTTCTGAGGGAAAGCACATGCAAATCAGGAAGCATTATTCTAGAGACAATGTCTGTGTATGAGTGTGTTGGGGTGGGGTGGTCAATGGGCAGGAAGTGAACTCTGGTCTGTTTTCTGCAGTCTTCCTCAGCATGCTGGACCCCCACTGGCCCGTGTCTTTGGGGTCATCCTTTCTGAAGCATGTATATCCCCTCTGGTGGATGGTGCATCATGATACTGGAGTGAGACTGAGTGGGGTCCCCCCATGGCCTGAGAGTGGCAGCTATTCCTGCCATGAGCCTTGTCCTCAAGGCCTTGTGAGTGAAGGTGACTTCCTCTCAGGACTTAGGTAAGGTTGTTACCATGCTCCTCCTTTTCCTTGCTCCACCTTCTCATTTGTGCAATGGGAACACTCACCCACACCTTCTTCCATCAGGCCCTGCCCATCTAGCTAACAAACTTATGGGGTCGGGGGTCAGGATCAGGGTCTTCTGGCAGTCCTGTGGGGGGAGGCCTGTGTCCCTATTCTAAGGAAGACGCCAGGGAAAGTGTGGGGGTGGGGCTGAGGCAGCAACTAGAGAGGGTGAGGGGAAGTCAGGGGGCAGCTACTGAACTTTGGGGGAGAAGTCTGAACAATGGGGGAGAAGCCATAGATGATGGGGTCATAGGAATTGCGGTCATCAAAGATGGAAAGAGGTCAGAGAACCAGGGGGATGAGGGGGGTCAAAGGAGATGGAGAGAAAGGGAAATATTTACTATCATGGTGGTCAGCGCCATCTGAAGAAGGGGAAGAGTAACAGAGACCACGGAAATGAGGCCTTTGAAGGAAAGGCCAATGATATTCCATAATTTAGGGTGGCAAACCAACCCGGAAAATTCCGATAATGATAGTTACAAAGATACATAATAGCAGAACATTATTGCTTTGACCCCACACCCGGAAAAGCGCAACGAGCAAAGCTTACCCAATCAGCTACCAGACAGATAATGATGTCACCACAACTTCCATGAAGGTAGATTCTAAACAGCTTTTGGAAATGCTTTCAGGTTTTTTCAGTTTTGTTTTGTTTTTTAATCTCAAGCCACTCCCTCCAAACGATAGTGGAAATAAATTTGAATAAACAAAACAGGTTTGCTGAAAATAAAACCAGGACTCCCAAACCACTCCAGTCAGCCTGCTTCCAGAAGGCCTGTCAGTCAGGGCACCGCCACCAGTGGCTGATTGAGCAGCATCCAGCATGTACCAGGTGAGTGCACATGCTGCCAGAGGGGTTGCTGAGAGGAAACTGAGCAGAGTGTTGCTGAGGGTTGAGGGAGGCCAGGCTCCCAGGTTTGGGGGAGACGTTTGGATGGTAAGCGACTGGATTAGGTGAGAGCAGTTCTCACACTGGCTTTTTTCTCCAGGTGGTCGCATTCTTGGCTATGATGCTGGGAACCCACACCCTTAGTTTTCGACTCCGGAAGGACTGCAGCCACTGGCCCAGCTGTGGTCCCAGCAAAGGGCAAGATCTCTCTGAGGACTTGTTGCAGGGGCCAACTGTGTTCATGTCTCCCCCGGAGCCTGAGAGCCTTGCCCAGCACCCAGAATCCTGCAGGGCCAGTGAAGACGGACCCCTCAATAGCAGGGCCATCTCCCCCTGGAGATATGAGTGAGTCTGCCACCCTATCCCAAATGAAAACCCTGCCTGTGCTTTCCTGTGTGTGTGTGTGTGAGGGCTGTGTGAAGGTGCAGGCAAGTTCTACCCAATTCTACTTTCCCTCTTTGATCTCAGAGGCCATAAAGTTTTAGAAACTAACAAGCCTAGATTTGAGTCCTTCCTGTGACTCCCATTTAGTCACCTTGGGCCAATAACTCCCCCCAAGTTATTTTATTTATTTATTTAATCTGTAAAATGAGATTATACCCCATAGGCTAATATGTAGATCAAATGAAATCACATATGTAAAATCTGTTCTTAATGTTGGTGCTCTACTTTTTTTCCTTCTCCTTCTCCTTCTTCTCTTCCTCCTTCTTCTCCTTCTTTTTCTATAATATCCCACTTTTTTAAAAAAACTAAAATATTAGGGAATATGGTATGATACAGGCACAAAGCATCCCAGTACCAAATGTAACTTCCCTGGGTCATGAATAGGTTTTAAGTATATGAAGACTGTAAAACCCTCAATTCTTGGGAGAAACCCAGCATCTAGAACCCTGGGATGCTTATCTTTGATCATGATAATGTTATCTTATTCTTTTGCTCAGTGTGCCACAGAAATATTATAATTCTCTATTTGGGCCATAATGTGAAAAATGTTAGGAAATACTGCAATAGGGACAGAGATTTAAAAAATATTAAAGATTAGGGTCTTAGGGATCCCAACCATAATTCTTTTGTCTTTATGTCCTTTTAGGGGGTTCTGTGTTTCCACTCCCCATACATATGACTCTGTTTAGTGACTTTGGGAATAGATGAAGTTTATTGGGGGTAGGAAGGGGGCCAACTTTAACTGAGATTAGATCTCAGGTGGAGTCAACAATTCATAATGCTTTTGAGTGGTCTCAGAAGGTCAGTTGGTTCTGGGACAAATCTGATGGTGTAAAGCCTGTTGGGGGAGGTTGGGTGCCAGATGGCTGACTGAACTAGGGCTCAGACCACTGGTTGGGAGGCTGTGATTCCCTGATAACCACTTAGTCAGCCTTGCCCATTCTGTTATGTACAACACTTGTTCTACAAGCTGCTCTTCAGAAAAGTGATGTCAAGTAAGTTTGGGTGCAGCAGCTCCAGTCCCCACACCCTGAGATTTTTTTTTTTAAAGAGAGAGTGAGAGAGAGAGAATTTTAATATTTATTTTTTAGTTATCGGCAGACACAACATCTTTGTTTTGTATGTGGTGCTGAGTATCGAACCCAGGCCACACGCATGCCAGGCGAGTGTGCTACCGCTTGAGCCACATCCCCAGCCCCCACTCTGAGATTTATAGTGCCCCTTACACACTAAAATCTGCAAGAAGTCTGCAGAAAAGGAACCATTAAATTCAATGTTTCCCAAACTCATTTGACCTCAGAACCTTTTCTTGAATGGTGTTTATTAGGGAACCCATTGGGAAATGCTATAGAAGGTGGACCCCAGTCTCCCAGGGTTTTTCTGTATGGAAAACAGTCTTACAACCTGGGATGGGGGTTTTCCTGCTCCACTGTTGGAATACAAACCTTTGGAGTATCTTACTCTTTCTGTGTTTTTCAAGTTTTTTTTTTTTTTTTTTTGCCACAAAATCTTTTCAGAATAGGAAAAGAAGTCTTTCCCTGCATTGTTAAGTGTACTAATAATGTATGCTTTGGTAGTGTCTTGTGGGTATAGGAAACAGCTCCTTCTAGGAAGTAGAACTGGTGGAGAGAGAGATTGTCTTCTTTTTCTTTCTTTTTAAAAATTATTTTATACTTGGCTGTCAGAGTAGTTTTTACTTTTGAAACAATTATAATTTTATTTTAGTTTTTGGGCACCAGGGATTGAACTCAGGGGCACTCCACCACTGAGCCACATCCCCAGCCCTATTTTATATTTTATTTAGAGACAGGGTTCTACTGAGTTGCTTAGCAACTTGCTTTTGCTGAGGCTGGCTTTGAACTCAAGATCCTCCTGTCTCCACCTCCAGAGCCACTGGGATTCCAGGCGTGCCACACTGTGCCTGGCTTAACAATTATAATTTTAAAAGACCTAAAATGTAATAATTACCCTAAGAAACCTCACGCTAAAGCCCAGCTCGATATCATATGGAAGAAGAACTTGGTCTGGTGGAGGCAGAGGCAGAAGCCTGCTTACCTTCCCCTGCCTCCTGAAGGGCTCCAGGACAGGACCAAGTGGAAAACCACTCTTTTGTCCCCTACATTCACTTTCAGTCAGGGAAGATAAATCCCAGAGAGCAGGGTGATGACTTATTAAAAGTTACACAGCATGTGGGTGCCAGAACTGAGACAAGAAGTCAGGCCCCCATGTCTTTCCTCTAGCAGCTCCATCCCACCTGGCCCTCCCTGCTCTGGCCTATCTCTCCAGGGACTGACCAGTTGCATCCCCACAGGTTGGACAGGGACTTGAACCGGCTCCCCCAAGATCTGTATCACGCCCGTTGCCTGTGTCCACACTGCGTCAGCCTACAGACGGGCTCTCACATGGACCCCCTGGGCAACTCGGAGCTGCTCTACCACAACCAGACCGTCTTCTACCGGCGTCCATGCCATGGTGAAAGGGGCACCCACCATGGCTACTGCCTGGAGCGTAGGCTCTACCGAGTCTCCTTGGCTTGTGTGTGTGTACGGCCCCGTGTGATGGCCTAGTCATGCCTGCCACCTACCTGAAGCCAGATCCTTATCTGTAAGACTGCAGCCAGGTGCACAACCATCTTGCCATGGTAGGCCAAGATACCCACATGCTTGGTCCCTCTGAAGCACCACCTGCATCAGCAAGCTCCTCGGACAGGATGGAGGCCTTGGGGAGAACACACACTTTGGCACTTTTTTTTTTTTTGGCACTTTTTTTTTTTTTTGGAGGTGCTGGGGATTGAACCCAGGGCCTCGTGCATGCGAGGCAAGCAGTCTACCAACTGAGCTATATCCCCAGCCCCCCACTTTAGCACTTTCCAGAAGCACTTTTGGAAGGGAGCAACTGCAGCTTGTGGCTGCTGGAATCTGTTGTCCTGGCATTTCCTTTCAGAAAAGGCCTTCAAAGCTCTGCCCATTTCTGGAGGCCACACTCCTGACTCTTCTTATCCTCCCATCTCCAGCTGCCCTGGCCCAGCACAGGAACTTTCTTCTTTTTGGCCCTGTTGACCCTCATTTCATTTGTTTGTTCGTTCATTCATTTATCAAACACTCAGTGATCATCTACTTTGCACATGTCCTGGTGTAGTTACAAATCCTTTGACATGGATCATTCTGAGGAGGAAGCTGTTATTGAATGTGGAGAGATTTATCCAAATAAATATCTGTATTTAAAAATGGCCTAATTTGTCTTTGGCATCCATGGTGCCCGAACATCCCATGGCCCTCAGCCCACCACCTCCTCCTTCCTACCACCAGCCCTCACCTACTGCCCGCCCTGCCAGCTCTCCATGCCATGCAGTTTCTGTTGCACCCTCCCATCCCTTTCACTCTCTGGCTCCCTGACCCAGCCCTGAACACCAGGGAAGGGTCAGGCCTCCTCCTGGCATGCTGGAGAGACAGAGGCCCATTGAGGCACTGCAGCAGGCATACAGCGCCCCCTTGTCTCCCCAACAATCCGCCTTTGTCCTCCGCTGCAGCTTGGTCCTGAGGGTGCTGCCTGGGCTGGGCTCCAGCTCTCACCCTCCTTAAAAGGAAAAGGGAGAAAGGACCAGCCAAGGAAGAGGGTTAAGGTTATAGGAGGCGGAAATAAACTTATTCAGGCTTAGGTCACAGAGGTGTTGTGGGGTGTCTTACTCTTGCCCCTGTCTAATGCTTACTCCCAGCTCCTGCAGTTTCTTTCTGACCTCCTTCTCCCCGTCTTCCTTCTCCCCTTTTCCAGGCTGGGTTGGGCTCCCAGTAAGGGGAGGGGTTGGCCACGCCTCTCAGCCCTCCCAGCGTCCTCCTAGGGGGCTGGTGCAGGCAACAGCAGAGGCTCTCTGGGCAGCCTGGTGAAGGCCCATCTGGGAGGCCTCCCCAGCGGCTGCCTTTCCTGGGCCCCCAGCAGACCTCTCTGCTTCACTTTCAGGTTTATCCAAGTGCCTTCTTGCTCCTGTCTGCTTTCTCATCCTGCCGGGTTTCTGGGTCCCTTCCTGGGCTGGTGGCAGTGTGTGGGTGGGTGGGTGGGGCTGTGCCCAGTGGTCCCCACGGAGATGTTCAGTGCTTGGAATCGCCGGGACCGGCCCCCTGAGGAGGGGGCAGCTGCAGAGCTCCAGGGCTTCGCTGTGGACAAGACCTTCTTCTCCTCTCTCAAAGGCATCCTGCTGGAAACTGAGCTGGTAACAGCTGCCTCCCCAATCTGGTGCTTCTGTCTCCCCCATCCCCAGCTCCCTGGCCCACCAGCCCTGAGCTAGGTTCCCAGGTTCACAGCCCAGCAATTCTCTTTTCGAGCTTCTCCCGTCTCCAGCTGCACCTTCTTCATCTCCTGCTCAGCTTTCTTGCTGCCTCTCCATTTGGAGCAGGTTTCAGTTGCAGCAGGATGAGTTGAAGTTAGACAGAAGGGCAGCTTCCTGGGACATGGAGGGATTGGACATAGGGATAGGACAGGGATAAAAGCTGGCTTGTCTTTTCCCAGCCTCCAGGATGACCACTTGTTGGCATGTCTAAGAAACCCAACTACCAAAAAGGGCAGATTTCCTACAGCTCTGCTTTATCTGTTGGCTGCTGCCCATGAACATCTATTTTCAGGAAGAATCTTCCCCCAGTTCCTTAGCAAGGCCTCTGCCTCTCTGTCATCCTGTATAGCTGGGGAGCACCTGCCTTCTAAGCCTTCTCTCTTGGTGTGGAATAAGGCTCTGGTTCTCATCAGAGAAGTTTAGGACATCTGAGAGTGGAAAGAGCATTGTGGGCCAGGGGCCGCCTCCTGAGGTGCAGGGCCTTTGTGGACACAACTCCAGAGGCCTACTGTGTACTCCTGGGGGACACCACTCTAGAGGATCACCATAGGCTCGTACTCCCTGTAGCCGTGCAGCTTGGCCTAACTGCTGGGGTTACTGGGGTCCCTGGGGCTGGAGATGGCCCTCTACGGTCAAATGCCTGGAATGGTGTCCCCGACACCAGGAACGGGAGACATGCCAGAGCTCTTCCTTATCCTCTCCAAGGATGGGAGGTGGGTGCCAGCCTGTGGGGTTCCTGAGGAGGGAAAGGCCAAGGTCTGGCCTGTGCATGTGTCCCCTTCCTGGCTAGATCTCCATACTCGGTCCTGCAGGCCCTGACCTTCATCATCTTCATCTGCTTCACGGCCTCCATCTCCGCCTATATGGCCGCGGCATTGCTGGAGTTCCTCATCACGCTCACTTTCCTCTTCTTCTACGCCACCCAGTACTACCAGCGCTTCGACCAGCTTAACTGGCCCTGTCTGGTGAGGAACCCTGCCTCCCTCACCCCATCTTGGTCCATCCTCTGTCCAACTGCTGAGTTTTCCTCTCTTCTCCCAGCTCCCCTCCACTTCCACACCCCAGCTGGGCTTTGTCCCAGGTTATGCCCTGTATTCCATACTGTGCTTTTACCCAGACAGATTTCACAGCTACAGGGTCCCCGCGAACAAGGAGGATATACATCCCTTAAGTCTGCCCTCTCACTCACCAGAGCCCCAGCCTCAGCCCTGCCCTGCTTGGGCCTGCAAGCTGGGAAGCTCAGCCACTGGCTTGGGCTGACTCTGCCCAGTCCTTGGCTGCTGTGGACTCTGTTCTTATTCCCTGGATAGCATTGTGAGCTCTCTTGAAAGTGTCCAGGGCCATCCCTATATAGAAATTCAGGGTCCCCGAGGGTCAGGCTGCTGACTAGCCTGGGAAACCTCTGGGTGATTTCTCCCTGCCTTCTGACATCCCTGGCTCCCCAGGACTTCCTCCGCTGCCTCAGTGCCATCATCATCTTCCTCGTGGTCTCCTTTGCTGCTGTGACCTCCAGGGAAGGGGCTGCCATTGCTGCTTTCGTGAGTCTAGTCCCGTGGGGCACTCTGGCTCCTTAGGACCTCTGGCTGATGCTTGGACACTTCTTGTGTCCAAAGTGGAAACCAATGCCTGGGGTCTGGCTCACCCCTCTCCCTGTACATCTACCTCGCTCTCTCTTGGTCCAATGGCTCAATAGCCTCTGCTGTGCCATGTTGACCTTCCTCCCACAGGTGTTTGGTATCATCCTGGTATCGGTCTTTGCCTATGATGCCTTCAAGATCTATCGGACTGAAATGGCACCCAGAGCCACCCAGGGTGAGTCTGCTCCCTGAGATGCCCCTATCCCCACCCTAGCTGCCCCAGCCTGACATGGCTTCCATGCCTGGTTCCATCTTCACAGGGACTCAGCAGTGACTCCTGGGCTGTCTCCCAAGCCCATCCAGACACAGGGAACCATGAAGCCCAGATATGTCTCCTTTGGATTCATTGACCCCCTGGCCACCATCCCCCACACCAGGTCTACAGAGGCATGTGCCCAAGAAGTCAGTGGGGATGTATCTGTGGAGCCTGGTGCCCTGAGCCTGGATCCTGATGAGGTTCTGTCCAGAGGAGGAAGGGGAAGAGGGGAGGGAAGGAAACTGGGCCCCCAAATTAAAAGATTCAAATCCTACTATTGAGTCTTCTTGTTCCCAAGAAATTAAGGCAGATTAGGAATGTCAAGTAGTATTCATGGGAATGTTGCCTGGAGCAGGCCATGATCCCTATCTGAGACCAGGTCCAAGCAGTGAGGAGGTGGGAGCCAGCCTGAAGAAGCTAAAGACATTCACCAAAGCAAAAAATGCCCCACAGCCTGGGGTAGCAGAGGGAGAGATTTCTGAAATGCTGTGCTCAAGGCCACTCTGTTGTGTGCCTGGTGACTGGACACCTGGAGTTCTGTCTCCTATGTGAGGAAGTGCCCACCATCTACTTGTGCTCACCTCAGTAGGCTTGAGCTGAGTGCTTGCCCCGGGCTTGTGTAGAGCTCCCTCTTGTGGTTTGGGGAGGACTTGGCCGGCAGGCGGCAGGGAAGAGGGCAGTCAGGGGCTTCATAAGAAGAAATTCACAAAATGCTGGCAGTAGAAGAGCTCTTAGATATCAGCAGGACAATACCCTCATTCTACATAAGTGAAAATTGGGGCTCAGGAGAAATGACTTACTGACTTGTTGACAGAACTAGGGCTAGAAGCTAGCTGTCCTAACACCTAGACAGGTGTTCTAGATACAGTATGATATGAAGCTCCCTTGTAGCTCTGAAAACAATGGACGAGCCTCATCTGCAGCTCTCTCCACCAATGGGCCCATTTCTCAGCTTGCTGATTCCTCAGAACACATTTCCTGAGTGCCTTTTGTCCCTGTGCTGGGTATCAGGCATTCAGAGGTGAAGCCTTGTCCATGAGCCTTCACAGATTGGGAGACAGGCTGGTGGAGGGCTTCCCACAATGAAAGCTATGGGAGAGCTCAGCTCTAAGAGTTTGGAGCAGCACCCACAGCCTGGGAATCAGCCTGGCCTGGTCCATGGAGTTCAGTGCAGCCAGGATTTCCCTGCCCAGTCTAAGACAGGGCCCAGCTCAGTGGCTGCAATCAGCTGACTTTCTGTTCCCTATCCCGAGTGCTTGATTGTTCCTGTTATGAAATGCCTTCCTTTATCTTTTGGGGTGCTCCTTACAGTTGCAGGCCCCAGTCCCCAAGCCCTGCCTAGACCTTGGATCTTGAGCTCTGGGGTGGTGCTCTGCTTCCTGGGTCCTGCCCACTCCTCTCTTGGATTGACTTTTTCTGCCTCCTGTTTTCTGTTCTCCTATCCTTTTGCCCTGGCTCCTCATCAGATCTGACAGCCTCTCCTGGCAGGTTCTCCAAGTCTAGAACCAACTGGATTTTGTTTTCCTGGATTCTGCTCACAGCTCTCTGGTTTTATGTATAATTAATTCTCAAGACGAGGTGGCTGACCTGGCAGGAATGTGATTGGATGGGCACCACCTGAAAGGAGGGATAGAAGAAGATCAACTAGTGGAGTTGGGGAGCGGGGTGCCAGGTAAAGGAATGAGAAGGTGGTCTGTAGAGCCTCGTCAAAAAGTCCAGTGGAGGGTAGAGCTTTACTTTGAGCAAAAGGAAGTTAAACCAGCTGAACCCTGAGCAACTATGTGAGTGGTCCTCAGTAAAAGCTCAGAGACAGGAGAACCTTGCTCAATGGTGAGTGCCTGTGTATGCCTCTGTGCTTGTCCATGTCTGTGTGACAGTAAAAATGGATGAGCATTGCCACACTTCATCCACCCTGTAATACTGAATGGGCTCAGCATTGGCTGGTCCTGGAATCCTGGGATACCCTCATGGGGAGGTGCTAACCCACAGAGGCTGGTAATTCCTGTGAGCTATTCCCAAGGAGCTGACTAGAATAGGACCTTTTCCACATCCTTTCCCTGTGCCTCCCTCCTCAGCCAGCTCTGAACCATGTTGGGCATCAGCAGAAAATTTGTTTGCAAAGATCAGGTATCCCAGGACAATGTTAATGCCGGTAGTGGCCTCAGAGATGGGTTGGCAGAGGGTAGCTTCCACTTTGACACCAAAATTCTGTATCTCAATGTCTATAACTGGCTCACCCTGTTGGTGCCTTTATTTCTTCCACTGCTAAAATTTCTGTCCCCTTTCCTTAGGATTGACCAAGCAGAGCTAGGACTCATGCTGCCAGGCAGAACACCTCACTTCTCTGGGCTTGGTTGCCTCCTCTAAAGATGTGAGGTGCTTTGATTCCCACAGCTCTGATAGAGGGGCTGTGGCCACCAGCCCTCTTGCTCCAGGATGGGCTTCAGGAAGGACAAAAAGGCACAGCAGTGTCAGGTCTCATGTTTATTGTGGGTGAGCATCAGCCAGGTTTTGGAGGCAGCATCACTCTTCATCATGCATTTTTTGCTGAGAAAGAAAAAGGGGCTGTGAGGGGCGGCTGGCAAGAGGGAGGAAGGTTTGGGGAAGATTCAGATGTTGGGCAGGTGCTAGGTCACTAGGGCTTTCAGGGGCAAAGAGAGATACCCATAGAAAGGGAAAGGTTAGGGCTGGGGATGCAGCACAGTGGTAGAGTACTTGCCTAGCATGTACAAGGCCCTGGGTTCAATCCCCAGAACCACTAAAGAAAGTGGGGGCAGTTAGGCTTCAGTGATCTTGGGATCCCATATTAGGGGTGCTTATAGTTTAGCGGATGAGAGAATGGGATTGGGCTCTCTGCAGAGATTCCTGTTTGACTAGTACAGACCAAGGGAGGGACCCACCTTGGCGCCAATGTCACGGCTCTTGGCCCGAAGCTTGTTGACCTGGGACTCAGCGATGTCGGCCCGTTCCTCTGCCTCATCCAGCTCGTGCTGCACCTTGCGGAACTTGGACAGGTTGGTGTTGGCCTGCTCCTCCTATGGGGAGTTGGGGGATGTGAGGATGGGGCCTGAGACCAGCTCCCTGTCTCTGAACCACTCACTTCTTACCCAAGTTCCTGCAACAGCCTTAAAGGGTCTCATGCACCTGACATTACACCTTCCTCAAACTTGTCCAGCATTTAGGATATTTCACAGCCATCCAGTGCCCAGGATAAATGCCATGCTGGCTGGCATGGCCCTCTCCCCACCCCAGAGCCCAGTTTCACTGCACCTATTCTAATCATAACTCAGATGCTTGCTGACCCTGGAACTTCCTGCATAGATGTGCTCATCCATACCTCATGCCCACACTTTCCTGCTCACCAGATGTTTTCCTCACTGTGCTATGCCTAGTCAGGTTCCCTTTCAGGCCTGATTCTAACTCTGTGACCTTTTTCCTGCCTTCAATACCAATGATCCCTTTCCACTGCTTTCCCTTGGGTTTATGGTGTGTGGACTATGGGCAGCTGTTGGGCAGGTGCTGGGTCACTACATCATGAACTCAGAGTACCTGACACAGCTCAGAGCTCACAGACATATAGAATACATGTCTGATAAAGATTAGAGCTGACCCTTCATCCAGGCCTGGCAATGGCAGATACTCATGGGCTCTCACACATAGTAGGTATGTTGATGAAAGAAGGGAGAAAACCACAAACTCACCGCCTCCTCAGCCTGGCGCTTGTAGGCCTTGACCTTCAGCTGCAGCTTGTCCACCAGGTCCTGCAGCCGCAGCAGGTTCTTTTTGTCCTCCTCTGTCTGGGGTGTGTGGGTGGGAGAAACCAGTTTTCAGAGAACAACAAGTGCAATTACCTTTTTGTCTTCCCTATTCCACTCTTCTCCCCAGGCCTCAACCACCTGTCCTCCCTCCAATAGCCCAGATTAAGGAGGTGGTAGGTAAGGGTCCGTCTCTGCTTCTACCTGTAGGTCAAAGGAGCAGGGCAAGCTTCTAAGTCAGGGACTCACAAAGCAATGAGGCTTGTGGTCCAAAGTCAGGGAAGGGGCTCAGAACCTAATAGAATTCTCTAATGTGGTCATATGGATGCACTTGGCCTGTTCCAGCCTTGATCTGTTGGATAGGGTTCCCACCTGGAACAACTTGGGTGCTATTGCCTAGTGGTTCTTGAGATGACCAGAGAGAAATAATGAGGAAGGCAGAAATAAGGGGATATTATCATTGTCCAGATTATTCCTATTATTATTATTATTATTATTTTTTTGTGTGTGTGTGTGTGGTGCTGGGGATTGAACCCAGGGCCTTGTGCATGGGAGGCAAGTACTCTACCAACTGAGCTATATCCCCATCCCTGTCCAGATTATTCTGATCTATCATAGCCTAATATTCTAATACATTGCCCTGGGCCAAAATCTGGGCACCAGGATCACTGGTTCCAATGTCATTTGATCATTCCTATTTTTCATATCATGTATGCGCTTTCCATCTTTATCCATAAAAATCTGCAGTTCTCTATCTATAATCTCTTTCCTATGCCTCTGATATCCACCTTTAAATGGACCAACATCTCCATCTTCTTGGTCTTACTTTCCAGAAGACTGTGAAAATAACAGGTCAAAAGCAAAGGCTCTGAGCTATGCAGGTGGAGGTTTTTCTCTAAGGTCTTTTTTTTTTTTTTTTTTTTTTTTGGGTCCCAGAAGTTCCTGGAAGAACTCTGAGTCTTTCCCATCACCTGACTCATGTCTCCCTGTCAGGTTGGTAGTAGGTGGAAAGATTTCTGACTATTCTGAAGCTTTCGTAGTAGCACTCATGGTAGCACTTTGGCTACCATGTTTTTATAACTTTGGGTTATAAAACTCCTGGGGCAGGGGAGCTGGGGACATAGCTCGGTGGTAAACCTCTTACATATAATGCACAAATCCCAGGATTTGATTTTCAGCACTGCAAAAAAGCAATCAAACAAAGAAATCTGGGGGGATTCTGGTTAAAAGAGTTTTCTGGTTAAAATGGAAGTGGATTCTCCATTTTTGCTACAAAAATTCATGGACGCAAGTGGAACTGACTCCAGGGTCAGAAAGAAAAATAAATCTACAGACAGCATCTCAAAGAGCAGGTGATGGGTGTGCAGCCTGGCAATCCTGGACAGCAGCTCAGCAGGTGCCCTGTGTGTGCTGGCAAAGCAGCTGCCACATCTACTTCTGATCCACCTGCCCGCACCTGGTAGGTGAGCTCCTTGATGCGCCGCTCACTCTTCCTCATGCCCTTCACTGACTCTGCATT